AGGGTTATAGTAACAGCCCGCTTTCACTTTTCACTGTCCTTTACTTGAAGCAGCAGGTGCAGTGGGTCAAAACCAGTTCCTGTGTTGATGTGGGCAATGACTTCAATGAGAATGTGGCCAAGTTACTGGTTTTAAACAAAATAGATTTATTTTTTGTCAAAGTAGGTAAATATGCCTGAAACATCTATGTGCCTCTTTATTGCTACTTTTATAGAATTTGAGAGAAAATATCTCTGTCATTTGCTTTTCTGTTCTTCTGAACATACACTTATAAATTCTTGAATAGATATTAGTACTGGTTAGTATACTACTTAGTATATCCACCTTAGTATATCCACCTTAGTATATCCACCTTCACTGGAACCCATTTGAAGTTTTTTTTCTTCTCTTATTTTACATATTGCACAAAGTGCACTATTAAAATAGTGCTGCAAAGGACAACGTCTGCTATAATTTTATAATCATTATTTTTAAACGCAGTTGTAGATTTGGAAATAGCTTTAAGAACCTCCTCCTCATTCTCTTACAAAAAAAAGACTGAAGCCGAATTTTAATTTATGTTGCATCTCCAGAGGATCATAATTCATTGTTATTTATTTCCAAGTTGTCATTCTTTCAGGTAGTGGGTTATATAAAGTGTAAGATGATATACAGTACTCTCTGGATTCAAACTTAGAAACTGTGACTTGTATATCAGTTATTATTGGGATATTTTCCTGTTTTATTATTTAGGGGTGTTACAGATTCTCTGCACAACTTTTGTACTTCACATAATCCTCCCCAGGTCATTTACAGAACAACATCAGGCAAAAAGAAGTTTTATGTTATTTTACACTGTTCAAGTAGTGAGAAATGTATTGTTGCTTTTGTTTGGGGTCCTGCATTCAAAATCAATGGTTGTATTATATTACATATAATTAAATTTCTAGATAATAACTGGGGCAGATAAGGATTGGTATTATCCATGAATCGCATGAGCCCTCATAATTTGGTTACTGTTCCTTAACCAAAAGACTCTTCCACAATGAGCAGAAGTAGTTTGTAACCTGTGAGGTTCAGACCTGCTTTGCAGGTTGTGTTGAGGCTCACAACACCTCCAGGAGCCCCCAAGGGTCAGAGTTCATCTGCCAAGTGTGAGCTTTTGTCTACTAGCCAGCATGGATGCGATGGAAGTTGCTTTCTTCCATGCTTGTGCTGGCCCTCTGTCTTACAAGGGATGATGGTGGAGAACTGCCCAGATCTCCCATGTCCCATGAGAAAATGAAGCCAAACAAATTCAGACTTTTTTGGTGGTTGCTGCAGCTGACAATGTGCAGAATTAACATTTCATTAACTGTTTTCCCAAATACTAATTGAGTTTATTGTTTTAAGTCCTCATCCTGGTCAAGAGCCACCTCGTATCCTGAAAACATGACCAAAAAATACTGATCATCCTTCTTTAATTTTTCAATTAAAAATTGCTTTAGCCTCAAGTCTTAGAATTCGGCTTCCATCTGTCTCCATTTCCTCTGTGCTGCTGCATCATCACAGCTTTTACTTGACTGTCTCGTATCTTTTAAAATAACCAACTGCTTCCACACCTTAACCAGGTCCTCATTTGATTCCTCCTGGTCTCTCAGAGTTGAGAGCAATAACCTTTATTCTTCCCAAAAAGCATTTTCTAGTTTCACCTAGAAGACAGATATAATCTAACTAGAGTGAAACCAAGTTAACTTTGGTGGATCTACAAGCAAAGTAGAAATCAAATTTGTATCATGAAGCATTTTGAGGGCACAAGATTTAAATTACTTATACAGCTGGAAAATGCTGCCTTTTCTGGACAGGCTCCATTCTTAGTCTCATTTTTAATCCCCCATTTTAGTCTTCATGCCTTGTCATATGACACTTAACTTTATTTACCCAGATCGGATCCTTCACTCACACATCTAGCTGAAAACCTAAGTAAATTTTGAGGAGTGCATAGAAACATTCCGTTAAGAGACGTGATAAAGAATACAGCTCTTCTAGCCATTCACCCCCGAAGGGGCAGCTTCATCTTTGCCTGCCTCCCTGAATGCAATTTCTTTCCCTCTCAAAACAGAAATCCATAATGGCTCAGAATTACAAATCCAAACCCCAGCAAAGTCTCGTCAAAATAAAAAACTCTGTATTACCTGTTGATATGTTTCTGTATCAGAAAATGCAGAAATCAAATGGTTGCACAAATGAGTGCCTATCTTCACATATACAATAGATAATCTGTTTTAAATTCTCTCTAAGATATAAATTGCCACTTATCACTGGTTTATATTTGTTAGAATGCTTTTGAATTCCATTTAATATTTTTTGTACCTTTTTGCAATTCCTTCTCTTTTCTCCTAATATATGTACCATACTTAGCTATACTTGAACTTCTTTTAAGCAGCGTCTAATAAATACTTAGAATTTACTTAAAGCTTGATAAATGAAAGGGAGTTACATGGCAATTACCATGAATCTGTAGTATTAGGTCAGTTTTATAACATTAGAGCCCTGCCTTGTTGAGTATCTAACACCATCTATTATGACAACTTCTGCTAAAATAATGTTAACACCAGATTACTTAATTTTCTAAAATTACTTCAGTTTTTATTTCCTGCCATAGATCTGTGTATCACTTAGTGTCATTTGCTAATTACTTCTAGCCACGTTTTCCAGAAATATCACTTTTAAACAACTGATTCACCTGGAAATCCCTTTGCATTTTCACGGAATACAGTTTCCTGGCACAAAAGTAAACTTATGCAGTACTCAGTTCTTATAAAGTTATGTCATTAATACAAATATATTAAATATCTTTAAAATAACTTAAGAAGGCTGTTCCCTTTGTATGTAGCATTTACCAGTATACAAATAGTATGTTTATAAAATAAGAAATTACCAATATATTATAATAGCTCTTTTTTATTTTGCTTTCTGAAACGGGAAGTTAAATGCAGACTAATCATTGTGCGACCAAGAAAATTAGTAAGGCAGCATTTGGGAGCAAATGACTGCTCAGGGAAAGCTGACAGCATGTTCCTTGGGAACATTCAACTCGTGAGCAAAGCTGTTTACACAGGGTGGAAGACATCCTAATGTTGGAGCTACATATAATTACTAATCATCAGTTACGGCATTTATAGGCAATCTGTCTTTGGAGTGCACTGTATTTTGTGTGCCTTGTAGCTGAGACTGACCACTCAGTACCTTTTCTCATTATTTGGCTGTCATTTCCAGCTACCATTCTCTCCAAAGTAAACAGTTTTCTTGTTTCTCTTAGTTTTCATATGTGATGAGATTTATTCCCAGCTGCCTCTGTAAGAAGCTGAACTTATGCCAACCACTGCAGTTGGACTTTTTTTGTTTTGGTTTGGTTTTCCTTTTCTGTAACAAATACTTAAGAATCAAAGCGACGTGTTTGTTTATGAGTTTGAGTGTCCTAGTACACAGCTTCCATCAACGTATTCTTGAATATAAAGCAGTGCCCACGCATGTGCGCATCCAGATGCATGCCCATGTGCACACTGGCACGCATTAGCCTTTGTGCTTCCAGCCTAAAACTAATTTGAATCTGAATGCAACAGTCATCACTCTTGCAAATTCAAAAGCCACCCACTGAATGAATGTTATTGTTCTGTGTGTAACTTGTGCTGAGGATACCACAAATTGCAAACAGGCTACTGAGTTGTAATATCTTTGAAAGTTGTTGCTGCGGTTGTTTCTTAAAACAATGAAAAAAACCCAACATCCAGCCATTCACTAAGACCAACTGGCCAGATCTACGGTCACTGCTATCTCTTTTTGGAAACAAATCATGGGAGAACATAATATTTACAAGTTTCAATTTTTGCTCGTGTAAATAATCAAACTTTGGGCCTGATCCTGTTCTCAGTTACTTAAATTAATTAATGACAGATGTCCAAAATCAGAGTGAAATTCAACCCTCAAGAGAGAATTCCCACAAGGCCTTTATATAACTGTTTTAAAGGACTTAAGTGATGCTTAGGCTCTGTGCTGGCCCTCTGCAAAGAATAAATTTTACCCAGAATGCTTACTGCTTTGATCCCTTATATATAACTCACATTCTTAAGTTTGCACAGCCACAAAAGATCTATACAGAGCTAAATAGCCAGATATTCAGCTGGCGTAAATTTATGTAACTTCATTGACCTACATGGAACAGTACCAATTTTCACTACTCTGGCTTAAAGAATCTCCATGGGATAGAGGTAAGTGCGTATAGTGGGTAAATGGATGAAAGGCTCTTCAAATGATGAAAGACTACATTGCTCTGGAAGTGATTTAAGTTAAACTGGAAAAAAGCCACTCCTTTTCCGGAATAAATCACACAGGGAGTATAATTATGCAGTTAAATTTCTTCTCATGCAGTCAAGCTTGAACTCGCCACCACATTTGTGTAAGAAATGAAATGTTTCCCATCTCTCAGCAATATGCTAAGTTCTGTGTTTAACACATATATATATGTGAGCTATACAAGTATACGTACAAATAGATTTGTATCCTTTTTTATTTTGAAGGGAAGGGTATTGGTAATTTTCTGTCTTATTCTGAAGGCCAAAAATCTGGTCTGGACCTGCATTCCATATCACCTTGCTGGTAATAAAGAGAATGGATTTCTAGAACAATTTCAAGGGCAGTAAAAAAAATCTCTTATTTCCTGTTTTATACTCTCTAGTCTACATACCCTTTTTTTTGAACAGTTGCGTGCTGGATTTTTACCATCCTAAATACACTGTTAAAGCAGGTAATTTATAGAAATGCATGATGCAGAGCCATCTTACAGTATTGTTGATTCTTCTGTTTGTATCTGAAATTACAGAATTGCAGAATGAGAGCGTCATTCAGAGAACTGCTGTGCTTAGCATTGCTGAGTTTTAAAAATAAGAATATTTCTCTGTCATGGGAATTCCTATCCTGCTGCAAGGCTTTTTTTTTTTCCCCCCAGTTATGTATTGAAGTCGTAATTGCTTTCTTTCCAGCTGTTACACATCTGTATTGAAGGCTGGGGAAACTGGCGGTGGTCTGAACCGTTCAGTGTGGACAATACAGGGACCTTTATTCGTACCATTCAGTACAAGGGCCGAACAGCATCACTTATTATCAAGGTTC